ATCTCAAAATTTTGAAGAAGACACAGATATTTTTATGCAACCCTAAGCAGGAGTTTTTATCTGTCTGTCCTTCAAAGGGATATCTATCTCAAAATTTTGAAGAAGACACAGATATTTTTATGCAACCCTAAGCAGGAGTTTTTATCTGTCTGTCCTTCAAAGGGATATCTGCTCTAGATGGTTGCTCTAATGGGGATCTTGTCTATGTTCTAGCTTACCTGAATCTAACTCAGATTCCACTTTTCCCCCTCATCCCAAGGGGAAGGATTTTTAAATACTTGGGTCTCTTCCACAGTCTTTGCAGCAAAGTCTGTGTTTTATCATAGAGATTTTGAATTACATTTGTTTCTGGACTTCATCTTAAGCATGTCCATTTCACAGATATATTTTATGTAAAGATAGTCCGTTAGTGATTTTTTTTCTTTCTGTTTAATGTAGTAAATTTGCCCTGAATGACAAAGTTGCAAAGAAAAATAAAAGGCAGACTTCAAAACAGAAGGCTAGTCAGCAGACGAGCTCTTCCAGTGGGAATAATTTTCAAATACTGGATGATAGCACTTGGAGTGAAACATCTCAAGTTGAAGGAAGGTACTGAATATAAAGAATATTATAGATAAAAATTATAAAAATTGATCTGAAAGCAAAAGGTAAGTTTTGTAAACCTTATGTATACAATTACTTTCTTTCATGCGACAATACTACCTGATGTTTAAAAACACTTTTCTGCTTAGAGTGCTTTGAACATGCTAGCCAAGTTAACGATAAGGTCTGCTGTTTACAAATTCTGAATGAATACCTGAGTGCATGTGTAAATATGTATTTTATATTTTTAAAAAAAGAGAGTGAAGGGACTTGCAAAAGAGCAAAGTTACACTTTCATTGCTGGCATCTCATTTTTTTCTCGCCCTTTTTTTTTCTCAGCTGTGTCCCCTCCCAACTTCTTGCCTACCCCAAACTTACTTGTGGGGTCGGCAAAGTGAGAAACAGAAGGTATTGATACTGTACAAACGTTGTTCAGCAACAGCTAAAACATTGATGTGTTATCACCATTGTTTTGGTCAGACATCTAACACACAGCACTATGTGGCCTGCTATGTAGAAAATTAACTTCATCCTATCCAGACTCAGTACACTAAGGAATGCAAAATTATAGTTCTTTTACCTGTAAGAGAATGATTCACAGTACTGAAAAGAGCTAAGCCTCTAGTATTAAACAGGGAATGCACATGACTGTTTATCTGTGTATCTACGTATCTGTAGGTGTAAGAATCCTGTCGCTTTGAAGTGCAGAGAACAGGTATTTCAACTATTGGCTTAATATCTTAATTTGTGGGGAAAAAAATCCCCTCCCAATAGCCATAACAGTACACTTTTTTTTTTTTTTTCAGTCTTCAACTACATCTAACAAAGTTCTTATATTAAATTCTAGTTCAATTCACTTCTGCAATAACTTTTTCAGGGCAACTTTGGATATTGTTCATAATGCAATCTAAGCATTCCAGTACTGAAATATATTTTTCTTTTCCAGACCTGCGGCAAAAACAAGGCTTAAAAAGAGCAAGGTATTGCAAAATTTCTTTCTTGATAAACAGCTTGTATCAGCTTTTAATCCCTTAATGCTGAGAGCAGCATTTATGTAGTGATCAAACAGATGCACAAATTGCTGCTAGTATGCAGCTTGATCATATTTGAGCCAAATCTATGGTCTGTAAATGAGAGAATGAATCATTCATGCATTTGTAATGATCTGTAATACTGTATAGCTGTATACAGAAAATACTGTATTGATTGTAGGCCAGCATACAGATGGATGTAACTGATGAACTTGATTTAACTCACTCATCTAACGCAACTTCAGAGGATGTCGAATTACCAACTCCAACCTACAAAGAGGCTATGCTGCTGTTAGAACAGCTTAGTGTGGATCATACAGGTAGGTTTCCGAGTCACTTTGTCTTCAGCTGGTACAAGTTCCTCTTTTAAAACATTATTTTTTTCTGTGCACTTCTACATGTTTTAGTTTTATATTTTGACAAATACCTGTTCCACCATGGTGTCTCCATGGGCTGCAGGAGACTCTCTGCACTGGTACCTACAGCACCTCTTCCCCTTCCTTCACTGACCTAGGTGTCTATGGGGCTGGTCTTCACACACTCTTCCTTATCCTCTGCCTGTGTGGTGGTTTTGCCCTTTACTAAATATGTTTATATTGCCACCCAGAGGTGCCACCGGTATGGCTGAGAAGCTCACCTATTTGCCCTTTACTAAATATGTTTATATTGCCACCCAGAGGTGCCACCGGTATGGCTGAGAAGCTCACCTATTCCCTGGGGTGAGTCTGCTGGAATTAGCTGTATCCAGCATGGGGCAACCCCATGCCTCTTCTCACAGAGACCTCCCCACTACCCGCACTGTTCCCACTACCAAAACCTGGCCACGTACACCCAATACGGGAAAGCATAACATCATTCATACATTGGAATGTATTTGTGCCTATGTGCAGTTCTGTGTCTTTTTTATCTCAAAAATAGGTTCTGCTATTTTGTTGAAAATTCAGGACATACTTCTAGAATATGAACAGATAATAGAATGTGAAAAAAATCGGTACACAGCTGTCTGTAGGGAAGTAAGGAAATTGGAAATGGAGAAGAATGAGTCACGGTTAATCGCAGAAGAGACTCAGGATTTGAAATGCATATTGGCTCACAAAGAAGTGGAATGGAAAAGTGATATCCAAAACCTTAAGTATGTAACCTTGCTTTCTCATAATGTGTTGTTATCTTGTCATTGTTTGTGTATCAGAAGATGCTGGTGATACAGGCAGTAGGATGAGAAGTTTCTAGTCATTGGAGTTTCATGAATCCCTTGAGCAAGTTATACTAGGACATAATGTCAGGGGGAGAAAGTGCCTGGATATTAGTTCCATGTAAAGTCTTCTGGATGCTGCTTTAACTTTTTTTTTTTTTGTTAGCAAGAGGAGAGATCAAGGGAGTATGTATAGGAAAATGAGGTTTATAAAAGAGAGACCTATATGAGATATGGTGGGGGGGGTTAAATTATTTTTGTCTTAGCAGCTTCTGTTGTAAAATACTAGGAATTCTGATAAATCCACAGAGCGCAACTTGTAGCAGAGCTTAGAGAATTTGTTTGCTTGATTTTGTGTTTATTTGAAAGGTCAGATTTGCGATTGCCTCATTCCCTATATTCCTGAGCTAGACCTGGATGGCATGAGGCTTTTAATTGCTGTTCACATCACTTCAGACCAGAGTGGCCAGCAGGCACCGTATGAAATTCAGCAAGGACAAATGCAAAGCCCCGCACTTGGGAAGGAAGGTTCCCTTGTGACAATGTGCTGTGGGATGGATGGCCTGGCTGGGGAGTCTGCTGGAAAGGCTCTGGTGGTCTTGGCAGGGGGCAAGCTCAATATGATCCCAGATGCACTGCAGCTGAAAAGGCCAGTGGCATCCTGGGCTGTTTTAAGTGCCAGGAGATTGAGGGCAATGATTGTACATTCCTACACAGCACTTGCTGAACTGTGTCTGGAGCATTTGGTCTAGTTTTGACCTTCTAGTATAGGAGAGATCTTAATTGATATGTGCGAGCTCAGTGGAGAGCTACCAAGCTGGTCAGGGAGCAGGAGCACCAGCTTTGTGAAGAGGGGCTGAAGGAACTCAGCTTTGAGGAATTATGTCTCCCAGTATATGGAAGGGGATTATGAGGCAACCAAGTCCCAGCTTGGATTTGACTCCAACCATATTTCAAAACTCTTACATATCTATCAATTATAAAGAATTAATATTTTCATTCTAAATAAATTCTCAAAGCAATATTAATTTTACACTTATAAAAGACATAGGTTTTGTGAGATTACACTAAAAATTATATGTAAAGCTTTTTGCTAGCTATGTAAATCACTGAGACGCTGGGATTTGAACCCTGAGCCCCTGAATTAAGGTTGACATATGGGTGATTCCCACAGCCCTTCATAAAGAGGTGGTGAGTTTGCCTTATAGCTTCCCCCCAGGGT